CCGTGTCTTTCACCTGTGTGCCCGCTCTTGGCCTGCTACACACCTGACCTAACAGAGACTGGGTCCAGCAGCAGCTATAGCCCCAGAACTGCAGACAGCCCCGAGGTCTGCGTTTCTTGTGTTGCCTCAGAACTGATAGAATTGGGATTCACAGACGTTTTTAAGATTTTTTTTTAAAAAAATAGATCCATTTCCAACTACAACATAAACACAAAAAACTATCAAGCCAGTCTGTGATTTCACAAATACACAGGGGAGACAGACGTAGGACCAAACCATATTAAATGTTAATAAAAAGTGTTAGAAAGAGATTTTGAGAAGCAAGAACATGGTGTGTTTTAAAATCTATGATTTGGGCCAGTGAGGTGACTCAGCAGGTGAAGGCCTCGAAGCCTACGACCTGAGTTCAATTCCTGGGACCCACATGGTAGAAGAAGACAGCATTCTGAATTCAGAACAGACAGACAACACACACCCACATAGCATTAAATAAATAAATGTAAAAAAGCTTTAAACACATTTAACAAAATCCATGAAGGATTTTCATAATAGTCTATCAGCAACACTGTGACAATCTCCTGCCTACAACAGAATGACAGCGTCCTCACAGAACATTTCAACAGACTTGGGCCAGAGCTCAGCCGCAAGAACAAGAATAATCCCTTTCTTTTCATGGTGCTGAGGCTGCGTATGCAAACTAAGAAACTGGTAAGCAAGTGTGTGAAAGAAGGAGTTTGGACCAACAAAGAGCCAAGACAGACAAAACTTTCACCGACTGGTCTTGTCAGAGAGCCCTGCTTCAAATTTCTGCCTGTGCCTGTAATCCCTTCTACCTAAAATCAGAGTTCAGTGAACCTGGTAACAGGATAGACATTTCTTCAGCACCTGGGTGCCAAGCATGCCTATAAATGATATCAGGGATATAAAGATGAGCAGACAAATGCTCCCAGTCTCACCGTCTGATTGGACGGGTGTCCCAAGGTTGATGTTGCAGGGAGAAACTGAAAAGGATGGCAGGCCACTGATCGTTTCTGCCTCAAGGACAGGGGAAGACTGGGAGAGGAGAGGCAGTGAGCGAGGCCAGATGGATTAGTAGGGCTGTAAATATGCAGAGACTGAGACAGAGAAGAGGATGGGCTCACAGATAGGAAAGTGAGGCCGTGGGAAAAGACCATGACCCCAGGACAGCGAGGGGCAGCCATAGGGACAGGTTAGAATAATCCGGGACAACAGGTGGGAGGGTTGAGAGTGGAGTACTTTTGACATCCAGCTGAAGACCTGACAGTGACAGCCGGAGTCTGGAGGCCCACAGATGATGAGAACCTTTGTGAGAAGGAGCCTGGCCCCCGCTGAAGAGGACTGTCCATCTGGCAGCTGGGTTCTGCCTGAATCTGAGACAGGGTGAAGAAGGAGGAGGCAGGCAGCCCAGCCAGAACCAGAGAGTACAATCGCTGTCTGCCGAGGAAAGAGCAAGGCAGGGGCTGAGATGGTGAGGGTCGTGAGCTGGGTTGCAATGAGAGGAGTGTGCCAAGGCAGAATGGTGGCACACGATATGGAGATGTGGGTTGTTGGGGGTGGGGGAAGAGCCATGAACGGCTGTGCGATTCTATCTAAGCTTGCAGCTACACAGTGTGGGCAAGGGGAGAAGACAGTCAGGAGGTTGTAGCTTGTCTGTCTACTAAACGGTTAATGAAGAAAAAATAAACCATTGAGATTGCTAAATCAAGCACCCATCCCCGCAGTGAGGGGCCACCTGTCCTGGCTCTATAATTTCCCAGTTCACATCTGTAATTATAGACAACTTGTCTCAGAAGAAAGAATGAATGAGGAGAGAGTGGTGCCGTTCCAGATACCTTAGTGTTCTGGAAGGTTCTGACATCTTTGGCTTCTTCTCTTCCCACTTCAAAGATCAGGGTTTTCTCTGGGCCACACTGGCCTCCACTGGGTCTTCTGTACTCAGCAATGCTTGGCTTTTTAATACTTTCAAATAACACACACTGCCCTCTAGGCCTGACTCTGTAGCCCAGCAGGAAATGACATGAACAAAATTGCCAAGAGGAGGTGGGGGAAGCTTTCCAGACCCTTTGTAAACCTCCTAAAATTATATTCCAATATGCATCTCTATGTTTTGTGGTTAGGTGCACATAAGCACAGATGCCTGAGGAGACCGGAGGCATCAGATCTCCCTGGAACTGGGCTCAGAAGTGGTTCTGAGTTGCCGGAGAGGCTGCTGGGAGCCCAACTCCAGGACACTGTGTGCTTCCCACTGCCGATCCCTCTTGCTGGTCAGTACCCTGGGCCCAGTCTTTCTCCCACCAAAGTAGATGTTTCCAGTGAGCGGCCTTCGGAAAAGCTGTTCCTGTTTTGTTTTCCAAAGGGAAGAGGTGAAAAAGAGGGGCTGTATGATCTGAGGGAAGGCCAAGGTCATCACAGGATAAATTTGGGTCGGGTAGGGTCTTTGAAGGGCCCTCAATTCATAGCTGCTGAGCTCAGCACTAAGAAAGGCCAGCCTGGCCTTAAAGACCTTGTCACTGCACGTGACCCCTCTCGGTCCCCTCCCATCCCCCATTCCTCTGCAGAACTCAAGAGTGACAAAGTACAACCATTCTTTCTGCAATGTTGCGTTTGATTAAGACACAATTCATAAAGGGACCTGGACACTCAAGCGCCGGGCAAGCCACATATTTATGGCTGTGGCCTGAGCCATGCAGGCTGCCAGCTGCCGGCCGCGGTGTGAGCAGACTGCCCTGCATGGTGCTGAGGCTGCTCTTTCCCCTGCGGTTCATTTTCCAGGGGGAGTTCAATCGCTTGCCCTGACAGTAAAGAAAAACTTGGAGACTAAACTTGGCATAAATATTGCTGAAAGTCAAAACAATGCCTTAAATTCAAGAGGCAGGAGGAAGGGTGCGGGGAGAAAGACTAGGTTAGAAATAAGTCACCATCAACGCTCTGTGTACATGGCTGTCTCCTCACATAGCACCTTGGAAATAAGCTGGGGTGACCCCGAAAGCCAGGGCGGACAATTCTGAAAGCGACATTCCAGGGAATAAGACTGTAGAGCAAGACACCAACCGGCTTCCTTCCGACACCAAGGTCCCAGGCTAGCCCAGGTTGCAGAGGAATCTCTGTAAGAGCAGTTGTCAGAGGCAGAGGAGCTGGGGGGTAGGTGAATGTTGCTGATCTGGTGGGTGACACCGAGCTGCTGGCCTCTACCCCTGGCAGCCCTCCAGAGTGACCTCCTCCGATTGCCCCTCCTCGGCGTGCCCTGAGCTGCCTGGTTTGGTTGAATGCTCTGTCCTCACTCTTTCTGCAATGTGCTGGCAAAAATGACAGGGAAGAGGCATTCTTCCGCAGTGACTCCGTGCCAACTTGGGACAGGAATGCTTCCCTGAGCCGTTAGTGGAACGTATTCCCAGCACGGGTCCACAAAGGGAGTGTGGCGTTCCCACTCCTGATTGCTCCTGAAGGCCTGGGTAGATTGGCCTGACAGCATGACCTCAAGCAACTCTTAAACCTAAACCAGTGGATGACGATGCCCTTTGAAACCACATCTCATCTCTTACTTTGTTTGGTTTTGATTTTTCCAAGACAGGGTTTCACTGCATTACCCTTGGCTGTCCTGGAACTCACTCTGTAGGCCAGGCTGGCCTCAAACTCACACTCACAGAGATCCACCTGCCTCGGCCTTCTGAGTGTTGGGATTAGAAGTGTGCGCCCCCAGCGCATGGTCAGTTCGTTTGATCTTATTTCCACATGTAAACACTACAGGAAGTGTCTATTCTTGACGTTTCGTTTTGTTGACTTTGCCGTGCTATTAATTTGTGGCCTGGGCATCCATACTGAAAACCTGAAACATGGAGAGGTGGTCTAAACCCCAACAGCCACCTTGAGTTATGGGCCTTTAATTACGGCAGCAGTTATGGGCAGTAACGAGCCTCCTCATTGATCGCCGCTGTAACCCATGCGGTTCTCAGACGGAGACGGGATGGAAGGAGGCCGCACAACACGAGCCTGTGCACAGGTTGACACTAGCGGGTAAACTGGCAGTAGATGGTGATGACCATCAGGTCCGTTCATTGCAGTGGAATCCAAGGAAAGTGCATAAAACCGCAGGAGCACATAACTGGTGCACTAACTCGTGTTCTCGTGGTATCACAGCTGGCGTCTCAGGTCATTAGAAGCCCTTAAAGCAGCCGTCTTCAAGGAGATCTAATTGTCAACGTGGTCTCTACACGTCTTTCCTGTTAGCGCAGTGTAAGGAGATGTAAACAGGCACTAAAACCTGCACAGGTTTTCTCTATGTTACTTTCTTATTTCAGGTTCACGGGACGGTAAATGTTAATGAGGGGAAACCTTCTTTGGACCTCAGCACGCTCATTAATGCACAGGGCAATCGGCCCCTAAAGAGTAATTTAGTGACGTGATAATCTGAATCAGACTCCCCAAAGCAGCTGACTTGTTAGGACCTAGAAGCTTGGGATCTTCGTGTGTGTGAGGGGCCCTACAGACAAAACCATTTCCTGAGGCGTGAGTGGTATCAGAGCCAGGAAAAAGAAGCCCAAGACCTGACATTCTTGAAGAAGCAGAATCCACCTGTGGGGCAGGGCTGGGCTTTCAACTCCATGATGGGCAGTTTTCATTGTTAACTAGGAACCCTCTAGAACGAGCTGAGAGGAGAGGCTCGGTGAGGGCTGTCTAGGTCAAGCTGGCCTGTGGATATGCTGTGGGGGATTATCTTGAATGTGCTAACGTAAGTGGGAAGACCCAGCCAGTGTTAGTGTCAGCATTGCCACGGTGGGAGATCCTGAACTTTGTGAGTGGAGAGAGCTGAGCACAAGTGTGTGTGCACTCATTCTCTCTCCACGCCTGTCTGTGCACGTGACCAGCTGTCTCCCCTCTGCCACAGTGACTCCACCATGGGGACAGACTGTTGCTGGAACTGTGAGCTGACAGAAACTTGTTCTCCCTTAAGTGACTTCTATCGGGTGTTTTTGTCACAGCAACAGACACAAAACCGGGACAAAGTCTGGTCTTGCCTTCCCAACCGCCACATCTCTCTCCAAAGTCTTCTCACTCAGACAAATAAGCAGAATCAGAAGAAATGAAATCCCAGACAGCTCCTTCACGGCATTCTGAAACGGGGGAAATCCACCAGGTGGACCAGCAGGTACTAGGAAGGGTAAGGTATTAGCCTAACATGAACGGTTATTAAATTCGCTACAGGTTGTCTTCCTCATCAGTCCTCCTTAGGCCCCTCCCTCCGTGTGTACAGATGGTTGTAAACTAAGAATAACGCAGGGTGCAGATCTCGCTCTCCACTCTTCGGTGGTGCTGGTGCCTCACTTCTTACTGGGGCCCTCAGGGGATGCCTTCTCTGTCCTAACCAAGCAATCTCTTCACCCGCACTGACCTTCCTAGCCCTTGATGGTCAACCGGAAGGAAAGCATCCCTCACGTGGTCTGCGGGACGTTTCCTGCCACTGGTCCCTGGTGTGTGCAGCTGACACTCTGGACCTTGAGCTTCCTGAACCATGGAATATGCTGCATTCGTCCTAAAGTCAGGCCTCGGCATCTACTCATCATCAACTGAGCACATGGGCCCACAGCTGGTCGAGGAATGAGGCAGATCCAGGAGACGGCGCTCATGCTGACCTGGAACTCGTATGTAGACGGGGAGGCTCGTGGGCTCCACTTCCATCAGAACACACTCTTGATTCAGACAGGCTCTTAGACTCGTGTAAACAAGCACATCTTGCTGGTCTCTGGGACATTTGCGCACCCCGGATGTGGAACATCTTGGGCTTCTTTGAGGTCTGTCCCAAGTCTGTGTTGTGTGTATTTGGGCTCTGTATGTTTTCCGCCACCAGATAATTAAATAGTTTCTTTCCAAACCCTGGGCCATCTCTGAATCACCGCACACTCATCCCAGCAAACAAAGTGAATAGTGGCATTCACCCTCCCTTCACCCAGCAAGTCTGTGGAGAACACCGATTCCAGTCTCAAATAAATTGCTACGGTGGTTTTAAAAAGAACTCTGCATATTTTCAAAAGTGCAGAGATAATGTAGGTTACAGCACATTTGGATGCCAATGTGCTTGTCTGTGTATCTTGGTAAAAATAAAGCATGTATCCAGTTATTTAGCTAGTTGTATACAATTGAGTCTGGAGTCTCTGCCAGTGCTGTCTCATGACTACACACAGGATTATTCTACGCACACTACATCTTAATGTCACTGCTGCAGCTACAATAGACACCAGCTATCAATTAGGATAATGTTTTATTTACTTTATATATCAAGGAAAAAGCCATTTTGTTAAAATTATCTACTAAATCTCAATTACAGTATCATAGGATATCAACTAATATCTTTTGGGATAAAATCTGGAATAAATCAGTTCCGTTAATAATCTTGGCAAGTTTAAGATCAAATAACCCTTTGTTCTCAAATTTAAATATTTTTAGCATGTTTAGGAGTCAATAACAGAAAAGTACAGCGTGCTCTAAGACAATGGAGTTCTCCTTGCTCTAAAGCAAAGAAGGAAGCCTGGAAAAAGGTTGTTGGCCTTCACAGAGCAGTCCCCTCTCGACCATGGAGCCTGCGGTAGTTCTGGGAGGTGGCTCTGAGTGGCTTTTACAGTCACATTTAGCTCATTATGTACTTTACTGTCTTCTTTCTGGTCACTTCCCTGCTTTGGCAACAAAAATAATCAGAATGGCAGCAAAAAATGAAAGAATAACATGTCATACTATTTTATCAGGAATGAGGTATTGCCATAAATAAGCTTTCTAGGCTGAAACTTCGCCTTATTGTTTAACTTTTCAAAGTCACAGATTAAAACCAAAAATTTTACAGGCTTATCATATAATATCTGGTGTTTTGATGCATGCTAACTAAATTTTATTAAAATAAATAAGTTTTAAACATCTTTATGGAAAATATATAATTTATATATATTAAAGAAAATTTAAATAGGCATCTAAAATAATTTCATGTTCTATTTTTAATATTTTCTTGATGACTAACTGCTTAAGATCTAGAATACTGATGTTCTTTGCATTCATTCATTTATTCATTCCCCAAGTACTTACTGACCGTCATGTTGGACCAAGAACTGTGAGAGGCAGCAGAGACAGAACCATGAAGAAAATACACAAAAATGCCTGCTGTGGAGTTCATATCCTGGTCAATATGCCAGGGTTTCAATGCATCCCCAAATCCCACATGTGGGAAATTTGACATCAATGCAGCGGTGCTGACAAGCAGCACTTTGGGACATGGACGGTCATGGACTGCCTCTGTTCAGGAATAGAGGGACCCATGGCTTCCTGAAGGGAGGCGAGGCGAGGCTATGGAGCAGCTCTCTGGACTGCTGCTCTCTCACCCCATGAGGCTCTCGGACATGTTGTGATGAGGGCCAAAGCCCACCACACACACACTACACTACACACACATGTGAACACAACACATAGGACATACATCACACCATACACATACACACAGGCACACACACACACACACACACACACACACACACACACACACCAGATGTTGAACAGATGTCAGTAATACCCATGGACTTGTCAACCTCTGCAGCATAAGTTAAGTAAACCTCTATTGCTTAGAAATTACAGTTTTAGGTATTTTGTTATGGAGACAGAAAACAAACTAAAAGAGTGTTCAAGATGTTTGCTTCTAGTAACTGACTGCTGTAGTTTAGGTTCTTCCTACCGGGCCAGTCCTTACTTCTTGCTAGCACAGCCTCTTCTCATGATCTGGGGCATCGCTGTGAGACTTTTCCTTAAGCATCTGCCTACTGTAAAAACTCATTGCTTGCCCTCCTGGGGAATTCTATCTCTGTATTCAGGATCTTTCTTTGTCCTCTTTAGTGGTTCCTGTGATTCCATTCTGATACGACTCTATCAGGAACAAAGATCTCTGTGTCATTCTTTCCCTATGAGAATAAAATGGATCTTTGTGTAAACGGGGCTCCGAGAAGAGCAATGAGCAATGTCATAGACTAATATTACAAATATGCTGCTTCTTATGGTTGCAGTAGCCTTTCAGTTTACTCATCTGGAAAACAGTGTCCACGGCCCTTCCTTCGCAGGGCTGTGAGGTTGAGACCAATGAACGCAGGAAAAGAGCCTGTAGTATACAGTAAGCGCGGGGGAAATGTTACTTGTTGTGACCTCAATCTCTTCGTTTTAGGCTCTTTTTTCTTTTCTTTTCCTTTCCCCCCAAGACAGGGTTTCTCTGTGTATCTCTTGCTGTCCTGTAACTCACGCTGTGGATCAGGCTGGCCTCGAACTCTGAGATACCAAAGTCTGCTTCCTGAGTACTGGTATTAGAGGCATGCGCCACTGCTGCCTGGCTTCTTCATTAGTTTTATAGATAAACAAGACAAGAAGACCCTAAAATTTCGGAGTGCATAGTAAGTTAGAAGTAAGACCATTGCCTAAGTCAGGGGCCCCAATCCTCACCCAGTTATTCAGACCTGTCCCCATATCTGCGGGCTTCGCGGAGGGAAAGACACACAGACTCCTGTAAACCACACAGGGACGACTCAGCTGTTTAATCCTTCCACCTCTCCACAGGGAAGGACTCTAAGCCTCTCTGCCTGGAATCGGGCTCCACACTTCAGACAGAGTTTAGGTGCTAACAGCGCGAAGGCTCCCGTTCTCACCTTAAACTTGTCGACTTCAGCCTTGGAACACGTGGCGTGGTACGACAGCACCTGGTGCAGAAGAGGACAGAGCGTCAGTGATTGCCATGACCGGGCCGTCTCACAGTCTCCTCCCTTGAAAAGGGGCTTTGCTTACAGGCAAAGCCTTGACTTGAGAATGGATTTCAATGTATAGCAAGAGATTTCTATGAATTGTTTGTGACCCAGACTGAAGGCTGGCTACATCACACCATGGATGCCAAGACTATGGTCCCTGCGGGCAATGTGGATACCTACTAAACCATTCTGCACTTCCCAACCTCGGAGAATCTCAGTTGGCCTCTGAATTGTGACGCAGCATTTTCCAAATCCAAATCCAATTAGCCTTATAACTCTGCTTTAGATGAGACAGCAATATCACAACAGGCCAACCTTATAAGCCAACCAAGAACTTTTGAGAAATGCTAATACAGGTCCAAGCAAGCACACAGCAGCGGAGGCAGCGCCCTACAGTGGTTGAACGCCGTCTGTGCACTCCCCAGCTCTGGGAACTTGCTCAGGCTCTTCCCGACTACTTTGTAAAGTGGCATAATAGTAACACTATAAAGACTGCTCGTGTTTAAAAGCAGCCTGCTTTTGAAAATCAGGGGCTCCACCTGAAAAGCCCAGCCAGTGCCATTTCCCATGATTGTCAACAGGAAAGTTAGACCGCACTGTAACATGTGTAACGTCCTAAGGCGTAGTTACGGTGCAGCAGAGTTCACAGGTGTGTATGAAACGAGGAACACCGGGGCAGAATCTAAGGATGTTTACATTTACTGGCAGTAAATACTTGGTTGCCTACCGTGAACACTTTTCTCACTGACTCCTTTCCCCCTAGCTTTTCCAATTGCCTTTCACTTTCAGGAGGGCCTCCCAAAAGCTGTGGTGTTGTGAGACAAATAACATTTTGTAAGGTTTGCTTATTAGCAACAAAATGAGTTTCTCCTGGCGAACGTTCATTGTAACAGTGTTACCTGGGGTGGGTTTGCAGTTCCCTGAGTTCTTAGGAAAACTGATGCAATAGTACATGTCGACCCAGCACACAATTAACTTACGTTGATTGTATGAATAGTCGTTCAGTCTACCACATACATATTTGGCTGAATATCATATATTATGATTTTCAGTGATTCAATGGTTTTTCAATAAAAATTCTGTTCTTTCAGTTCCGTTTTATTAAGGTAAACTAAATTTACTGTTATCTTAGATTGTCTTATGGTGTTTGCAAGTTCTTTTTTGTATATTAAGTCTTTAAAACAGACTGTTAACCTAAAAAACCAAAACTGAAACCAAAAACTACAATTCTAATCTCCGCCACTAGATGGTGATCAACCAGGCTTTTAGCATGTGGCTAAGGCCTGCTACCGCTTTCCTTAAATTCATTCTCCATTTCTTTTATTATTAAAAAAAAAACCAAAAACCTGTCAATGATACTAAATTGCAGCTATTTGAACCAGTGAAGCAAATAACTATAATGGACCAAGGTTCTCCGCTCACTTAAAATTATTTCTTTTTTATATTTAATTGAGGTATAGGGTTTGTTGTATATTTTAGAACCAAGGTCTATGATATATATGCATGCATATTCATAAACATTGCTTCCCAGTCTATAGTGTAACAGTATGCTTTTGTTTACTTGTTTTTAAGAGGAGGGCTATCTGCACTGCACTGAATATTTTTCTGCCTCAGATTCTCAGCAGCTAAGACTTACAGGTGTGTGCATTGTGCCTGGTTATTCTTTTTAATGAATTGAAGTTTTCAATTTTGATTTATCATACTTGTCCATTTTTATGATTATTGCATCATGCATCTTTTCTAAGAAGTGTTTGCTCACCACTAAAATTACTGATGTGTATGTGTGCACACATACAACTTGTCTTGTCTTCCTGTCTTCCAGAAATTTATTGCTTGTTTTTATGTCTATGATAAATCAAAACTAATTTTGTACATAGGATAAAGACAGAGACTTAAGGAAATAAATACTTTGGATGTTATTTTCAGGACTATTAAATTTTCCTTATTTTATTTAATCTGACAAGTAATATAATCAAGAAGCTTTTGGTTTGTGCCTTTCAATCTTCTCTCCTATTCCATGACTCAGCACCGGAGGGTGGAGGAGGAATCAGGCTCAGAGTACTTTTGGTTTGTTTTGATTTTCTGGGACAGAATCTCACATTATTTTCTAGACTCTCCTGGGATTCATGACCTAGCCTGGCTGATCTCTAACTTGTGAAGATCCTCCTGCCTCAGCCTCCCAAGAGTTGGAACTCTTTATGACTTCAAGAATCTTTCAACCACCTTCTCCTAAAAGGTCCAGTACCGTGGAGACAGGAGGGAATTCTCACGCCTCGTTCCGCAGCATCCAGCCCTTATGGTACATTAGGGAGATGGCAGCAAGTCCCTCTAGCAATCCCCAGAAAAGCAGTGGCAGAGGAGCAAGTTACTCAAGATAGAGAGAGCCCGAGTTTCCCCAGGGCTATTTCAGCGTTGTTCCTCCAGACACTTCTTGTTATTTAGTTCTAAAGGGTTTCAAGACTGCATTAAGGAGGATTTTTTTTCAGTGCTGTGTTGGTTTGAACATAGGCTCCTATGTTTATTGGTCTCCAGTTGGTGAACTGGTTTGGAATCGGTCCTTGCACGTCTCACTCACGTTCACATTGACCACCATGATGAGATCCTGCTGGGCTGACTCACTGGTCACTCAAATTTAACACGCTTCAAACACACATGTTGATTTTTTCCACACATGCTAGAGAGAATAACTCTCTTCAACTCTGACTTACAAGACATCTGTGTCCATCTCATAAGACATCTCTGTTACCTGTAAACACATTGTGGTAGATAGCAAACAGAGGTGTCCAGAGAAGGAATTAACACTGATAAGTAACTAAGTGAGCCTAGTGTATCCACACTGTCCTTGCAAGCATAAGAAGGGAGGGAGAAAGAGTCAGAATGATGTGGTGTAATGCTTGGTCAGTCAGTGAAGGTTAGTAGATGGGCCATAGCAATGAGGCTAGCTCTACAGGGCAGAAAGGCTGGAGACACAGACTGCTAACATCTCCAGTAGAACAAAGACCTTCCTACATCTCGACTTTAGCCTTGTAAGGTCTCTTGTAGACTTACAGCCTCCAGAATTACAACATAATAAATTTGTATTGTTTTAATTCACTGGATTGCAGTGAATTCATTGCAGCAGCAAAAGGAAACTAATCTGCACACATCTTTTCTCCCAGAGACATTCTTGGCTCTTTCAAACACCAAGTTCTTCTTCACCTGGGTGCTCCCCCTCATTTTACCCGGCAGGGATCAGCTTTTGAAATTGGGTTGATTGTCATGTCTTCAGTGAGATCCTCTCCATTCACTTCAAGAAACCACTTCTCCCCATTTGCATCCTTCGAGTTGAGGATGCTTTCTCCATCACTCATCTCAGCTGCTGGTGTCTCCACCCCCCACCCACCCAGAGCTCAGGAACCATTAAGTGGTTTGGCTCTGGAATGGCCCTCAAGAGCTCAGTGTAAAAGGTTGGGTCCTTCGGCATGGGGCCTATTTGGAAGAAGCAGGCCACTGGTGGCATGCTTTGGAAGGGTGATAGTCTGTCCTTCACGTCTCTCCTCTGTCTCCTTTTGCTTCTCAGGCGCCTTGAGTTGAGCAACTTTGCACCAACTGTGCTCTCAGTCTTGCCTCTGGTAATTTCTTATGACAATAAAAGGCCGACTGACAAGACCATGAAACTAAAGATTAGCTCTAGTTTTGATCACTAATGCATATCCCGCCCTTAGGAGTAGGCTTGAAACTTCGTTGTCACTTAGTGTATTTGATGAGCTGACATTTCAAACAGAAGAACACTGAAAAGAAAAGACCCTCTATCGCCCATATTCCTTCTGGTTTCCCTTAGCAGCAGATTGAGTCAGTGATATTTCCTTGGTGAAATAATAAGAGACACCACGAATGAGCATCAGCTGAGCAGTATGGGTAAGAGAGTCACAGAAACGACTAAAGTTGTATTTCAGATCAGCAATGAATTCCTACACAGTTTGAGGTATATTTATATTAAATGATTCATCATTAATCTGAAGCTCCAATCTACCGACTACCCTGTATCACATGGTTAAACAATTTCTCCCTGATCCAAGACAACAAGGCTAAAAGAAATCTATGGACAAAGCTAAGTGGAATTCCAAGATACTCATTTTCTGTCTGTCATCCCCACATCTCCCAGGGACTTTTCCTTTGGGATGTTTAATCTGGATGCTTACCAAATGCTTTAAGGCTGGAATATTTTCCACAGTGTTTCTGTTAGGAACTGAATTGTGTCTCTCACTTGGTCAAATTCACATATTGAATCCCTCCCTCTCAGAGCATGACCATATTTGGAGACAAGATTGTAAGGGGGTAATTAAGGTAAAATGAGGTCACGAGAGTGCACCCGGTCTGCTGTGAGTGGTGTGCTTGCAAGAAAAGGACCTTAGGACATAAGACACAGACAACACACAGTGAGGAGTGACCATGTAAGGACACGCCAAAAAGACAAGCACCCATGAGCCCAAGAGAAAGGTTACAAAAGAGACCAGACCACTGGTGTCTCTTGACTTGATCTTAAGACTCAAGAAATACAGAAAAATTAATTTCCAGTGTTTAAGCCATTCAGCCTGTGGTATTTTGTTCAAAGATCCTCAAAAATAAATAGAACTACATAACCTCATTAACCTAACATCTGTGGCAGAAATTGCAGGGAAAGAACAGAAGCAATTCCTGACTACTTCTAGCCCAGTCAGTCTTCAAAAGAAAACCACGACTGTTTTATATATGCATAAAATTATATGGCACAGCTAACGACCAAAACTCAAGTCAATTTCTATAGTCGAGAACTGAATTTAACAAAACATAAAAAGCACACATTTTCTTATTTTTGACCATTCCTGGAGAAGCAAAAGGACCCTTCTACAATTCCAGGCTGTATTAATTTTATAATCAACAGAGTTCCCCAAGCTTTCTATTGCATAGCGAGGATAGGGGTGCAGTCCACATTTTGAACAATAATATGTTTTGTCAGGTAAAAAAGTTTCATTGAATGTGTCTTAATAGTTTGGAAGAAAAATTGAAGAATGAATAACAATACCCACACTGTCTTCCTCTATGACAAATGTTGGTAGGTTGTGAGGGGTTGGCCATAATATAAATAGTAGTTAATTTCTTTGTCAGCTAAATAAAATTTGTCTAAAGCTTACATAGGAAAGTAAACATCTGATCCCTGGGACACTTGAACCAACATTAAACTTTCACAAGGAAATTTCTATCCCAGATGAATTTATCTTTTGCGTCACTGTTAATTTAGAAAGTATTTGGAAGTTGAAACTAGTAACTCAGTTTTGTTGATGAGCTCTGACTTACGCATTCTTTGTAGTTCTCAAATAAATCACTGCTGGCAAAACCCCACTGCTTTAATTAACTTTGGGATTGAACTAGTTCCTAGCAAAACAGGAAAAAGCAAGATAAGGCCATTATCAAGTCCGAGAAAGGCAGAAGAAAACAGCTATGCTCTTGTGTTTAGTTTGCACAGCGGGAAAAGACAATTAATTCTATTTCAAGAGAAGAGCAATGGGCAGAGATAGAAAATGGGACTAGTGTGTCAAGCTTTGCCCTCTGCCGCATGTGGTTCAAGACCTGAGCCAAATGCTTGTCTTTCAATTCCAGGAACCTAACTTGGTTGAGGGCAGAGCTCTTGTCCCAGCTGTTTTCAGTGTTAATTGGATGGCCAGCCATTTGCTCCTGAGATGAGAAACAAACCGCCACAGAAGCTCGAACATGAAGAACCACTTCACAGAACAGAGGAGCAAAGGCCCGTGAGAATCCAGACTGGCTGTCTCCCTCTGAAAGGGGGCTACAGGACTATTTACTCATGGGCTGATAGCTCTGGTGGCAAAGTCTGAATCGAATACTGAATTTTTCCTGAGATGATTTGAAGCAAATGCCCAAATAATTTCTATTGAAGAGCTCTGAAATAAGAAAGCTTGCCGTCAGCAGTAATCCTCCAGCTAAGAAAGGCGACAGTCTCTCCAGAGAAGACAATTTACTTGGAATGACCTGACAGAAATGTTATCTAGCTGTGTGAAGATCTATACACCTGAATTTTTTTAAAAAAAAAGGAAAAAAAAGAATTAAAAAGTTGACAACAGGATTTAAAACACGGTGACTGAATGACTGAACAGCTGCATTGAGAGTGATCGGTTTCTATTGGCAAATATTTCAGAAACTGCCCTGTTGTCTCATGGGATGAAATGTTCAAAGGACTACTTCAGATAACATTCCACCACATGATTGGTTATCATCGTCAAAACGTAGGCCATATTTTTAAAAATCTATGGATTTGAACTTTTTGAATTAAAGTAGAATAAAAATAACTTGATCTGGGATAAGAAGTAAAATATTGATCTGTTATCTAGATGACTTTAGGATCTGCTGCTTTTTGGCTAAGGGGGAAGGGTCACGTGTGAAGCTCATAGAAATACATGTTGAAGGTGTGCTCTTCTATAAGTCTCTGTGGTAAGCACTTTGGGCATCTTTTTTGACATCCTGATTCTGGTGGTTTGGATGAGAATTATTCCACATGGTCTTGGGTGTTTGGAGTCTTGGTTCTCAGCTGGTGGTGCTATTTGGGGGTGGTTAGAAGGTGTGGCCTTGCTGCAGGAAGTATGTCAGTGTGTGGGGGGGTGTTAGGTTTTGGGATTTAATGCCTCAAGCCGTTCCCAATTAACTGTCTCTGCTTCATGCTTGCTGTTCACAATGTGAGCACTTAGCTTCCTGTCCCTGCCACTATGCCCGCTGCTTGTTCCGCTGCCTCCTCTTTGCCATCATGGACTTCAATCCTTCTGGAACAGTAAGGCAGAATAAACATTCTCTTCCTTAAGTTACCTTGGTCATGGCATCATATTACAGCAACAGAAACATAAGGAATACACTGGTGAACACATTTCGTGTGG